CAGAGAGATAACTCGTAAATCGGATGAATTCGGCTTCTTCTTCATCGTCATCTGCCCTTCCTTTATTCTCTTCTTCTTTCTCTCGTCTCTTCTGTGGTTTGTGGACTCGTCTGTTCTCTGTTGTTTTGTGTTTTGCGTTTTTTTTTTGTTTGTTTTTTGTGATTCCGTTTTCTTTGGCATTATCGTTTGGGCTTTTGTTTGTTTGTTATTATTTTTTCGGTTCGTTTTTTTTTTTTAATTGCCTTCCTCTCTTCTCTCTTTCTTGCTCTTTACCTCTCTTTCTCTGGCAATCTATCTATCTTTCTCTTTATCCATCTATCTCTATGTATCTCTGTATCTCTTCCTCTCTCTCTCCTCCTACCCCTTCCCTCCCTCCCCACTCTCCCTCTCTCTATCTCTATCTATATATCTAGCTAGTTAGCTATCCATCTACCTGTGTCTCTATATCTCTTCTTCCCTCTCCCTCTCCTCTCCTCTTCCTCCCTTCCTCCCTCCCTCCTTCACTCTACTTATCTATCTATCTATGTATCTGTCTCTATGTATCTCTTTATCTCTTCCTCCCTCTCTCTCTCCTCCCCTCCCTTCTTCCCTCACTCTCTCTATATATATATAGAGAGAGAGAGAGATAGATAGATAGATAGATAGATAGATAGATAGATAGCATAGCATAGTAAATGGGTAATTGTTTTGAAACGAATTCATTTCACTGTCTCTCTGCCACTCTGTCGGCCGTCTCTCTCTCTCTCTCTCTCTCTCTCTCTCTCTCTCTCTCTCTCTCTCTCTCTCTCTCTCTCTCTCTCTCTCTCTCTCTCTCTCTCTCTCTCTCGTTCCTCCTCCTCCTCCTTTCACCTGTTAACCCATTAATCTTCCCTCGTCCTCATTTCTTTACCATTAACCTTTCCCCCTCTTTCTATGGACAAGATTCTCAAGAGCCATTTTTCAGACACCATTTTTAAGGCGTTGACCTCAAAGTCCATAGAATCTTCAAAGTCTATAATGATCGTATTTACAAAATGGAAGAAGAAAGAGGAAGATGGGAAGGATGGAAGAGGAGAAGGGAGAGGACGAGAAATTAGGAAGAGAGATAGAAAGATTAAATAAAGGGAGAGAGGGTGAGGAAGGAGGAGAAAGAGAGAGAGCGGGGACAGGAAATGCGAAAGGGAAAGAGGAGGAAAGATAGACGGAAAAGGAAGCAAGGAGACATGGGGAAGGAGGAGAGAAAAGGAAATGACGTAGACTAATAAGCAGAGTAAGTGATACTGAGAGAGAAAATAAAACAGAAAGAAAAAGGGATAGACCCACAGACAGATACAAGGGGACGAGCAGACAGATAAAAACATAATTAGAAATAAAGAGAGAGAGAGAGAGAGAGAGAGTTTATATTAGAAATAAAGAAAAAATGTCGAAAAAATGGACAAAAAATCTCATAAACAAACAAACAAAAATCCAATAATCAAACCCCATTGGCCCCACCCCCCACCCCACCCCACCGTGACCTTACACCTCGGCCCCAGTGACCCAGCGGTGACCTAACACCATCAATTCTTCCCGTCTTCGTGGCCCGGACTTGCTTCTCATTTCTTAGGGGAGCCAGAAGGAGGTGGCCCAGGCGTTGGGGAGAAATGAAAAATAGATGTTAAATAGATATAAAGGGGGAGGGGGGGAGTGGTGATATATTTAGGGAGGTTTCCTGAATCTCGCCGTTTGGGAAGTCAGGTAAAAGGCTTCTTGTTTTTTTTTTTAATTCCTGATGTGTATATGCACACTCAGACTGCCATGTACATGTCTGGACAAATACACATACACATATATGTACACGAATACATCGTACATGTATATGTATAATATATACATATGCGCACGCGCGCGTGTCTGTGTGTGTGGACACATATATATATAAATGAATATGTATGTGTATATATATATATATATATATATATATATATATATATATATATGTGTGTGTGTGTGTGTGTGGTGTGTGTGTGTGTGTGTGTGTGTGTGTGTGTGTGTGTGTGTGTGTGTACATATATATATAATAGTAATAGTTGCTGTTAGCTACATTAGAGTAAGTAGCAGCCATAGCATTGGCCCGATATTTTTGCTATTTATAGTAGTAGCAATAGTACCAGTAGAAATAGTAATAGTAATAACAAGCGTAAAAAAAATATATATGTAAAAGTGGCAGAAGATATCCGCATTACCAGAAATACAGCGTGTGTATGATGAGACAGTGGTTAGAGTCGTAAGTGGTAGCAGAAATTACACTAATGGTCCCTGTAGTAATTGTAGTAACAGTAGTGATACTAAAGCAGTAACAGTGGGTAGATCTGGCAGCAGAAACGTCATGTTAGTAGCAGTTTTAACAAAAATCATTTTAATCGTCGTAAAATTAGCTCCTTTATCATTTCTTACCAGACATTTCAATTTCAACGATCCTCTTAAAGCAACTGAATCTTCTCACGATCCGTAAAAGGTTTTCGAAATAAAAAACATTCAGTGAAATAAAGCAATTTATTACACCGTGCGTAGTGCTGCCCTCTGATGGCTAAAAAAAATGAAAACTCCATTCTTCTACCTATTAAACTTCGGCATTCTGACTATCAACATGACTTATTAACAGCTACATAAAAATATCATTCTTCCTGTAACAAAACCCTGTAACACCTAAACAATACTACATGTACTAATTACAAAATAAAAATCTATACAACTACAGTACTTTGAAAATAACGATTAGCAATTATATGCACTATCATGACGTTTAGTGACAGTTTTATGACAGTTTAGATGATAACTATATATGACAAACAACTTTAGTGTGGTTTCCTTGCATATTTCCTCCGAGGCAAGAACAACCCCTCGTTGCTTTGTGTTTGTTTTGTGTTTGTATGAAAGTATGTCTTTGCACATATCCCGGTTCGTGAGATTATATACCTACAAAGAAATCAAGGAAAGGAAACGAAGCAAAGAGAAAAAAAAACAATAAGGCAAACGAACAAGACAAGACAATCATTTACAAAAAACAAAGTAACTTTTGCTTAGAATTATATGGTTATCTATCTTAATTTAGCATCTAACTCGTATAACATATTGGATATGATTTAGTTTGTACGAAGGTGAATGTTTATATTTTCTTTTATTTTCTATATAATTTTATTCTCTATCTATCTATCTATATCTTTATTTATTGATTTTTTTTAGCCTTTCTATCTTTTACGGAAAGTCGGTTCAATCTTATATAAAATGTGTATAAAGCACTCTATCGGATGTTGAGCAATACACTTTGACTTTTCCCTTAGATTTAAACAAGAGACTCGCAAATACACACATACACTCACGCCCATGCGCACACGAACAGCTATGCATACATAAACAAAAACCCGCATCCTTCAGGGGGAAAAAAGTAAATATGATTAATATATACAAAAAAAAATAGTATTTGCGGTTTTAACTATGAATATTATCTTGATCCATTTTTTTATTTTCTTTTTTTCTTTTTTTATCTGATAATTACTTGTGTGAATTGTATTTATTTTGATAAACAGGGCGGAGGAATTTTGTGTCAAATGTCAAAAAAGGTATAAAATGAGAATAAATATTTCACGTATTAATTACAGAATTACATGGGATTTTGTGATTAATTTATTCATTCTCATTTATACCTATTTATCAATTCTCTCTCTCTCTCTCTCTCTCTCTCTCATATCCAACCATTCCTTTAATGTTTTTCCTTTACATTAGGAAAAAAAACAGAATATCTATAATTCCTCAACGCGCGTGGATAAAAACTCCTTCCCCCCTCAGTCCGTCTCCATCTCCGCCACCAGGGCCGCTGCGGTCTCCAGGGCTGTTGCTTTGGCCAAAACTTTCGCTTCCTCGACCGACGTCATCATGTAGGAACCGTTGGAGCAGCCGTTACCGTTGGCGTGGCCGTTGGAGGCGCCGTTGCTCACGCCGTTGCTCACGCCGTTGGAGGAGACGGCCATGGAAGGGGCGTTGTAGTGACGGGCGCAGAAGGAGCTGATTCGGTTGCACGCTTCCTGCAGCTGCTCCTTCGGGACGGTCAGCACGATCCTGACGTAGTTTGGGAAGTCGAAGCACTGGAATGCGATCCGGAATTAATATATGATTGATACATTTTTCTGTGTTTGGTACGGAGCTAAAGTCTGTCTGCAATGGATACATTTTATAAGGATGAGAGGATACAAATACAGTCTATAATGGATACACTCTTCTTTGAGGGTGACACGGACACAAATTATATCTGTAGTGGATACACTTTTTTAAATAAGGATGACGCAGAGACAAATCCTATCTATAATGGATACACTTTTCTGTGAAGGTGACACGGAGACAACTACTGTCTACGATTTTGTTACAATATAACCGAAATGAAAGATAAAATTACTAAGAAGCAGAAAATCATGCAATTATAACCTCAAAAGAAGGAACTTGGGTGCATATTTTTGTGGTTTTGGACTGATCACATGGGTTAGGCGACCTTGGGACTAATTAGCTACTCTGTGGTGAATAAATCATATATTTTTGTTGCTTATGTATGCTTTCATTCACATTTCCCTGGATTGATTGTGTTCCCTTAAAGGTAGTAATATTACACGTCTTACTGTATCTTAACTGCCAATTGCTTTAAATGTCTGTTTGTCTAAATGTATATGATTTTACTAACCGCGTGTATGTGTGTATGTATACTGCGTATACAATGTGTATGTGTGTGTGAGTGAGAGTAAGTCTGAGTGTGTGTGTGTGACAGCACACGATTTATGTGTGTGTGCGTGCTTACGTGTGTGTGTGTGTGTGTGTGTGTGTGTGTGTGTGTGTGTGTGTGTGTGTGTGTGTGTGTGTGTGTGTGTGTGTGTGTGTGTGGTGTGTGTGTGTGTGTGTGTGTGTGTGTGTGTGTGTGTGTGTGTGTGTGTGTGTGTGTGTGTGTGTGTGTGTGTGTGAGTGTGTGAGTGTGTGTGTGTGTGTGTGTGTGTGAGTGTGTGTGTGTGTGTGTGTGTGTGTGTGTGTGTGTGTGTGTGTGTGTGACAGACACGGTTTATGTGTGTGTGCGTGTTTACGTGCGGGTGTGTGTATGTATGTATGTATGTGTGTGTGTGTGTGTGTGTGTGAGTGTGTGTGTGTGTGTATCAATGCATACGTGCATATGTTTGTGTACACCTGATATCATTGCGTCAAACACCAAGGATGCTCAAAACCCACCAAGTCTGTACCATAAGAGGACATCGGATTGTGCAACTAATGGCACCGCATCCCCCTGACCGGCTCGCACTCGCAAGCTGACCGTCCTCTGCCTGACCTTTCCGAGCTGATACCGCCGTGTCACCCTCCTCAAGGCCAAGCAAAACGCAAAACATCCGTAAAATTGCATATCCTAATCCCATCAAGAAGGAAAATGGGAAACAACAGAAAACGAGAAACAACGGAAAATGGGAAATAACAGAAAATGGGAAACCACTGAAAACAGGAAACAACTGAATACGGGAAACAGCTGAAAACGTGCAATAACAGAAAATGGGAAACACCAAAAAAGAGGAATCAACTGAAAAAATGGGAAACTACGGAAAAATGGGAAAACGGCACATCGAACTCACTTTTCCTGGCAAACAGAAAACGGATTCCTCTGAGATCATCCTCTCCACGAACTGCAGGTCATCCTCGAACTCGGGGAAGCACGCCATATCCACGCCCACCTGGAGAGCAGCAGGAAAATAAAGAGATGCGTTACGTGCAGTAAAAGAGATAAATAGATAAAAAGATAGATAGATAAATAAAGAGATGGAGAAATAGATAATGAGACAGAAAGAAATATATGAATGATAGAAACATAAATAGTTAGATAAATGAGCAGATAAGTAAATGGATAGATGAACAGATAGATAAATAGATGGACATAAACACATATTTATAAAAAAAAAACAAGTAAATAAACAACATAAGATAAAACAACAGATACATAAAACATACGATTGAGCTTTTGCAAGAGGTATGAGTACTAGATATCAATATATTGCGCGTGTGTTGCATTTCCTTTGATGGAGGTGGAAATAAATATGCATTTGTGCAATGTAGCTCTTATGATCAAGGTATGTAATTGGGAAATAATGATCTGGGATGTTGTTATGCGTCAAAATATATTTGTATGTTACCAAACCCAAGTACAAACATACAAGTAATGATACAGTGGAATGCATAATTTATAAGTATTTACAATAAAAATTGTAAATATTTAGGATAACAAGTATGAATGTTTAGAATAAAAGTTATAGGTATTTTGAATAAAAATATATAAGTATTTACAATAAAAAAATATAAAGTAGAAGAAAAATATAAGTATTTTGAATAAAATTATAAGTATTTGGCATAAGAATTATAAGTCTTTAGAATTATATGCTTTATCTTTGTCGAGGAAAGAAATATGAGTATCACAGTTACACAAAATAAAAGCATTACACCATAACATTGTATTAACAGACACGCATGACTTGATTAAAACATTGTAACGAAAAGAATCGAGAGTGAATTTGCATAAAAAAGAGAAACTTGCGATTTTTTTTCTTTTTCTTTTTTCTTTTCCTTTTTTTTTCTTTTTTGGTTTCGTTTTTTTTTTCTTTCTTTTTTTTTTTTTGGGGGGGGGGGGTTAATGCCTCTGCTCAAGGGCGAGTGAAGAAATGGGGAAATCAGGTGACATTTGCTGCGTGACTCCCTAGGATGATGAACACAGCCACGAGGACAACGAAGGGAAACACAAAGGAAATATACAAATGTGCGTGTTTGTATGTGTTTGTGTGTGTTTGTGTGTGTGTGTGTGTGTGTGTGTGTGTGTGTGTGTGTGTGTGTGTGTGTGTGTGTGTGTGTGTGTGTGTGTATGTGTGTGTGTGTGTGTGTGTGTAAATATACATATATATAAATATACATACACACACACACACACACACACACACACACACACACACACACACATATATATACGAGTGCATGACTGTGCATATGTACTAACATTCGCGGATATTTGTCTGTCCAAGAGCTATGCCCAGAGGCTGTATCATTTAATATGCAGAAGCTTACGTGCGCCCCACCACGCACCCAAGCACAAGCACTCACAAACATACAAAACAGAGGCAGGTAAATAGGCAGTCGAAGCACCACGTTCCCTGAGTGGTCGCTGCCCGTAAGGTGAAGAAAGACAAAAAAAAAGAGAAAAAAAAAGATGAAGCTATGTACAAGGTCACCGGAGCCGCTCAGCAAAGGGTCTGCGTCGTATATAAGTATTTAGGAATCGTGTTTAATCTTTCGAAACCGACCGACATTTACGAGGTAGATGACTCGGCGAAGATCTGCTTGTGTGATACTTATGGGAGAGGAATAATGAGAAATAACACGCCTGAATTTTGAATACCGTGAGACGATGAAAAGATTTTCTAAAAAGAAATAAGGCTATATCTTTACCCAAGACAAGTATACATGAGTATGATATTA